TAACCTGGGAGGTTCCTAAAGAAGCTGGTACCAGGCTGCCCCTGGGAAAGGCCCTAAGGGTGGGGGTGGGGCTGGGGGTGGGGGAAGGTGGTAGGGGTGGGGGAAGGTGGTAGGAGCGAGACAGACTTTTTATTTTACTCTCTGCCTTATTACAATAATGTAACTTGTTTGTGATGTGCAGTTATGACCTAATTAGTTCACCTCCACTGATGGACAGGGAGCCAGACTTGGGGGTGAGAGGTCGCAGAGGGGGTATGGAACAGGCTGCAGGGACCATGGTTAGTGACGATGGGCCTAGAATCTGAGCAGTCAGGTTACCAGGAGCCAACCTGATCTGCTGGGCTGCTCTGTTAAAGATAGATGTATAAACTGAGTCTGGCTGCCAGGCCAAACTCTTTCCCATCTCCCTGCTAATGGCTGACTACCTACCCTGGTTTGTTTTCTAACCCAGTAATTATGACCAACATACACATTTACAAGTCAATGTAATTTTGTTTGTTGTTAAATTTACATCTTTTGCAATGAAAGAAGGCAGGAGACATCACAAAATCAAGGGCAGAGAGGGTTCGCTGTGCCGGCAGAACAAGGACATTACCAAACACGCACTGCTGCTTCTATATATGGTGTAACAACAAACCTTACAGTGCTTAATGCCTGTGCCCTGTCATTCAGTAAGCGATTAAAGCATCACTACAACCCAGTTAGATAGGAATGACTATCAATCCTACTTTACAGATGAGGAAGCAGTTTAAGAAAACTGCCCAGGGTCATAGAGTCAGCGGTGTGATTAGTTAAAACTTCAATTCCACAGTATCATCTCACTCCCATATTAAAGAATTATAAATTCCACAAGAAAACATGAAATTTGGACAGATTATTCTTCAGTGCATAGGCCATTACCCAAGGTCACAATTCAGGGGTTGTTTCCTGGAACTTCAAGAAACAGAAGTAAAGGAATGAGTGCTTTTGCCAACAGTCAAATTCTTCATCCCAATCACTGCAGTATTTACCATTAGTTTTTAAATGATTTAAAAAAAACCAAGGCAAGAAAAATCCAGACCCTCCTTCCAGGAGGAAGACCCAAATCACGGGTGTCAGGACCAAGGCTTGGGTTTAGAATGCCCATGCTGGAAGACTGCATCCAGAAGCTGCAGCGCACACCAGCCCAACGCGGCAAGGTCTTGGGCTGGAGAACGTCCCCTGCCTGACCAGGTGCTTTCCCCAGCCAGCAGTTCCCTGTTCGCCCTTCCTCTTCCCAATCCAGTCAAGCCACAGCCCGGCCATTCCACGCTTTCACATCTCAAGAAAATGTAGGAGCAAGTTTCCCTTCCTCATTTAGAAAAACTGAGACCACCTGATTCAATACACTTTAGCTATCATAGGTGGTACTGGACACACCTTGTCAAAGGCAATTTAAAAAAGCACTTACCAAATCCTTGGCTGGCTAATACAAATAAGCCCTTCACGAATTATATTCATATTACTATGAATGTTGATTCTGACTAAAAATTCATAAGCAAGGAAACTGTCCAAATTCCTGACAGGTGAGAACTGGAATTGGCTTCCCTGGTAGCTCAGATGGTAAAGAATGTGCCACAATGCAGGAGACCCAGGTTCAATCCCTGGGCCAGGAAGATCCCCTGGAGAAGAGAATAGCTACCCAATCCAGTATTCTTGCCTGGAGAATCCCATAGGAAGAAGAAACTGGCAGCGAGGTCCCAAAGAGTTGGACACAACTGAGCGACTAACACTTTCATCTTCTGACAGATGAAAACTGAAACTGGTGATATTCAGCAGGCATGCCATAATCATGTCTTGCATCTTAATAAGTGGATTCCCAGGTGGCTCAGTGGTAATCTGTCTGCTAAAATGTAGGAGATGCAGGTTCAATCCCTGGGTTGGGAAGATCCCCGGAGGAGGAAATGGCAACCCACTCCAGTATCCACACTGGGAAAATCCCATGGTCAGAGGAGCCTGGAGGGCTATAGAATGTGGGGTCACAAAGAGTCAGATTTGACTGAGCATGCACGCACACAACATCTTAATAAAAATAAGCTGTCACGGGACTTCCCTGGTGGGCCAGTGATTAAGAATCCACCTGCCAATGCAGGGGACATGGGTTCGATCCCTGGCCTGGGAACTAAGATCCCACATGCCGTGGGGAAACTAAGCCCATGAGCCACAGCTACTGAGCCCGCCCACACCTAGAGCCCAAGCTCCACCACAGTGAGAAGCCCCCACGCTGCAACTAGAGAAAGTGAGCACAGCAGCGATGGCCCAGCAAAGCCAACAATAAAGAAAAACAATTTTAGAGCAGCTATCAAATGAATGTAAGTTTGTACGTAATACATTCTAGCATCCCTAGAGAGCTACCCGACTCAGTGCTGGGCACTATTCAGCTGGCTAGCCTCTACACAAGTGACAGTAACAGGCAGCGAAGCTTCAGGGAATATGTACCACCTCCCAGACACCAAGCCACAGGTCTTGTACTTTTCACCTCATTAACCCTGGGCCTGCCTTTCTCCACTAGAAGAACCACCCAACAGCATGTCCTCACTATGCGATCCCATGTATAAAAAGCTCAAAAGCAGCAGTTGGGTTTTTTACATCGACAGTGCTAGAGGCTAACCAAGTGGTTTCCTTCGGGACAAGTTAGAGAGAGATGGGAAGGTACAGGGGTTTCTGGAGTGGGCGTGTTCACATGCACTAATACCTCAGTTTGTACACTTAAAATGTGCATGTTTTCTGGGTGTAAATTACAGCCCAGTAAATTTGTAAAGAATTAAGCAGTTCATGTTGATGGAAGGATAAAGAGCAAGCACTGTCCTGAGTCCTGGGTTCTGATTCTGACTTCCCTAGTAAATGGCCTACGATTTGGGGGGAGTCATTTCTGGGGGCCTCAGTATCTTCATTCCTGAGAAGTCAGAGGAGGTACTCTCCATTTCTCTCAGTATACCGTCACTGCCATTTCTTTTCCAGGTGGAGAAAAAGGACGGGCAATAGGATGATTGGAAAAGTAACTCAAAAAACGTTTGGTCTCTACCACCAGGACATCATTGAAATAGAAAGCAGAAAGCCTCTGCAAATCCAGGATGACATGCTCTCAGGGAGCAGATGATGGCTGCCGTCACCAGGCACCTTTGTTAACAAGCTCAACATCAATCCTAAACACTTTTTATCTTTTCAAAAACCTACAGTGAGGCCAGAACTGTCAAAGCAAGCAGGCATTCACACATTGTGTTCAGAGCATGAACCAGTGAACCAGTGAAGTTGCTCAGTTGTGTCCGACTCTTTAAGACCCCATGGACTGTAGCCTACCAGGCTCCTCCATCCATGGAATTTTCTAGGCAAGACTACTGGAGGGGGATGCCATTTCCTTCTCCAGTTCAGAGCATGACCTTGACGTAATCCTGAAGGCTGGGCAGCAAGGTTAGAGCACATTATTAAACACTCCTATTGCCCAAGTGCTTTGGGAAGAAGGTGTCTAGGTTAACTGTCTGGTTAGCCACACTCCCTCCCGTGTATATTGTACCAGAGGAGGACTTTACATTTCCTCTTTGTGCGGTGTGATTCAGAACCCCTAAGGGTCTCGTGAGAAGTGACTCACTGCCAGTAAGAGAAATTGGATACTGAAAAACAAAATAATTGTTCTCAATCAGAATATTTACAGACTAGCATTCGTTTATCATACAGACCATGAAATAACAAGCAGTACCAACCCCAGCAAGAAAAAAGTTTCTTCAGTGATTATAAACCAAAATCTTTATAAACTGATCGCCTTTCATAATCCACAAGTAAAATAAGGTTAGGAGCTTGGTTTAAGGTTAAGACACGCTCCTGGAAATTGCTGAAAGCTAACATCAGGAAAAACACCTTAAATCTATGTCACCTATAAATAACTTATTTCTTTGATTTTTCCATCAACTGTCATCCATTTTGTTACAGTTTAATTAAATTTTGGATTGCTGCATGAGTTAAAATGGGAGCCCTTAAATTACAGTTCACCCAAAACAGAAACTGAGAATGTCTGTAAAGATCTGATTTATTTCCCTCAGAGGGCTATTATCTGAAAACACCCAGATTTGTGAAAACACCTCTCTGTATTTAAATTAAAATCTGGCTCTATTTATCTCACTCCTTACCTTTACCAGGATGATTTAAATGAGGTTACCATGTGAGGACAAAAGCTAAAAGGGTGGGGGGAGGGTATAGGGCCCTTTCTAATTCCAGGAAGGCAGTGCAGCTAGTTCTCAAGCTCCGCCCTGTAGAGATTTTAACACCCATTAACACTACTTCAGGACAATTAGTGGGTGTAAGAATACTGCTGCGTAGCACCAACTTCTCAGGTACCTACATTTTCACCAAAATAAAGGCCATTGCCAAAGCCGGCCAACGGCCATGCGAGATGAAAGGAGGGCTCCACTGCAAACAACAAAAACCTCTTATTATCTTCGAGGTGCACGATGAAGAGTAAGCAATGCAGGCAAAGGTAAGCATCAACACAGAAGATACATAACACTTCTGTGCTTCCTGTGACTTCAATACTTTTAAAACCTGGGGCAAGTGAGGCCAAGGGCCGGAGTCTGTCCAGAAGTTGAGACTCCAGTCCGTCGCGATCACGTCCGCCCAGCAGAAGCAGAACACAGCTGCTGGAGGGGTCACCCTACAAGCCTACCCCGAGAGCAGGACGGAGAGTTTAAGGGAAGGCCCCGGTAAGTCCCAGCCACGCCCACTGAAGCCCTGAGGGAGACACTACTTCCCCTGCCCCACCCGCCGGACCCCAGACCCTTAGCAACCAGGTTTCCAACGGCCTCCCGCAGCCCCTCCGCCGCCCAGCAGCTACCAGGCGCTGCGCACGCGCCTGCGCAGTGCGCGCCCCTCGCCAATCCCTACGGAGCGCGGAGAGGGGAGGCCCGGTACAGCCCGATCCCGGAGGAGCCGGCCGCGTTCTGCGGAAGACCCCTACCCCAGGGTGGGGGAGTGGGGCTCTCAGGGCTTACCCGCGCCGAGGAGGCTGGCCAGGACGAAGAACGAGTACATGGCGCCACCGGACTCCGCAGTCTGCAATGCAGAGCGTCAGCTGATTCTCGGCGAATATAAACCTGCTCCGCCCCAGCGTCGCCCACTGCGCAAGCGCAAGATCAATCCCCGCCCGGCGGGTCCGAATTCCACCCGCAGCCTGACTCAGCGCCACAGAGGGCGCCTGCGCGGAGGGGAGGCGGGGCGAGGCGGGGCGGGGCGGGGCGAGGCGGGGCGGGGCGGGGCGGGGCGGGGCGGGGCGGGGCGGAAGGAGGGAGGGGGTCATCAGAAAAGAATACAAAATTGAAGACGTAAGGGATTATTTATATAAAATATCTTTCAAGCCTCACCTTTTTTCTGTGACCTACCGTTTTCTGTTATTAGGGCCATTTTTCAGCCGAGAATCGAAAAGTTCATCTACTTTTTCTAAGCTCTCACAGTCAGAATTCACACTCACCACCCCAAGACCCAAAGCTGTCTCCTAAATTGACATTCATGGTATGTAAGTGGCTGGGTTAGTGCGCAGCTTCATTCTGGTTCCTGATTTTCCCTCTTCACGTCTCACATCCACCATCCCTTCTCCCCGTGACTCACAGACCGGTTTTTCCAATATTAGATATGTAGGGTTTCATGGCAGGTCTCAGATGTACCACTTTGGCATGTGAGCCTTTCACCCATCCAACGTGTTAGTTTAAGAAATGCCATAGAGTGGTTTTGTATTTCATTTTTCCCCTTTTAGGCCTTAAAGTATCTTTGACTGGCAACTGTCATCATGTCAACAAAGTGAAACATGGTTGGCTGAATGAGAATTGATATTGGGTGGAAGAGCCCCTGGAGAAGGGCATGACAACTGGCTCCAGTATTCTGGCCTGGAGAATTCCATGGACAGAGGAGCCTGGTGGGCTACAGTCCATGGGGTAGCAAAGAGTCGGACTGGACTGAAGCGATTTAGCACACGCCCATACAATGGGTAATAAGGGGCTTCCCAGGTGGCACGGTGGTAAAGAATCTGCCTGCCAATGCAGGAGATGCAAGAGATGCAGGTTCTATCCCTGGGTTGGGAAGATGCCCTGGAGTAGGAAGTGGCAACCGACTCCAGTAGTCTTGCCAGGAGAATCCCATGGACAGAGGAGCCTGGCAGGCTACAGTCCCTGAGGTCGCAAAGAGTCAGACACGACTAACACACACACACTTGTCTTTCACATTAAAGGCAATGGAGACCCTGCGGAGTTAAGAGAAATTACTGCTTCTCCCTTAACTACATAGAAGAATTTAAATTGGGAATTTAAAAAATAAAATAAATTAGGAATTTTCCCCAGAAAGACAGTTATTACCAGGGACACATTTTATCTACGTGACCTCCATGTATATGGCAGGGCACACCCCTAAATACCAAAAAGTATGCTCTTATCTGTCTATGGGTGACCCTCCTGTCCTTGGAAGCCCCAGGTCCCTATTCTATTCCTTATCTCAAGATGGGGTATATATCTCATTTTACCTCTCTGTCTCTGACCTGCTCATGTTTGTGGGATTCCTGAACATAGGAAATTAAATTTTACTTTCTGTTAATCTGCCTTACATCATTTTAATTATCTGACCAATCAAAAAGAACCAAAGAAGGGAAGGGAAAATTTCCCCTTCCCAACAAACACACTCCATCCCAAGGCCCTACTAAGGTCTGTCCCGGAGTTGGAGGGAGTGGAGGAAAGGGACTGAGGGGCAAGATGGGGGACGATGGGAAGTGCATGAGTCACTGGAGAAGGGAACAAGAAGTGAAGCGCAAATTGAGAACCAGGCTAAAAATCAGCCTGTTGGAGAAGGAAGCAGCCCCCGCCCCCTGTCTAGAGCTCGACTGTCATCTTACTCCGGAATGAGAAAGGCCTCAGTGGCCCACAAAACCACTCGCCTTCTACCTATGCTTGACCCTCTGGTTCTGAGCACAGAGATGATGACCCTCACTCACCATCTCCCAAAGGAGAAGTACCTAAAAATTCAAAGGAAGGGAAGGAAATCTCAGCATAATTTCAGGGCAGACCCTTAAAGTTCATTTAGTCTCATTCCATCATTGTACCAAATGAGAAATTCAGACCTGGGATGGGAAGGGCATTTATCCAAGGTTACACTTGACCAGGGAGGGGCAGACCCAGGGTCCCATCCATCTGTGACAATCTTAAGAACAGACCACAGACAGAGGTCTCGGCAGCTTTGGCCCACCACCTCCGCCTCACCTCCTCCACCACCACCCCCACACTGCGGCTCCTACTTCCAACTGGGGAACAGAACAGGGAAGTGTGCACTGCAGTAGGTGATGTGAAAGAGCTGAGTAAAGTCGGGACGAGATTCAGTCTAAACTGGATGCCTCATTGACTGGTCTCAGCGGCAAGATGGAGGCTGCACGGCCACCCCCATCCACAGGCTTCCTAAGTCCAGGCACAGCATGGGACACATGACCCCAACAGCCAGATAAGGGCAAGGGACGTGGGGTCCCAGGACACAGCCTGGTCCCTGGCTCCTCATCGGTGAAGGAGGCAAAGCATCCCATGCAGAGGTTACAAGACCCCAAGACAAAAGGAAACCTGGAGACCTACGGGTCACAGGCTCTCACTTTGCTGGAGTTACTGCGCTCACAGAGCTACTTATTGACAGAGCCTGAACCAACCATGATTCTTTTTTTTTTTTTCATGATTCTTTTTTAATACCCCACCTCCCTCATAACCACAGGGATATGTCAGTGTTTTTGTGATGAACTTTTCATGCCTTTTATTTGCACACCTGGAACACAAGAGTAATATGTTCCTTAATCTACCCTCTTCCCTGTAAGGACAGAATTTTAATAAAGACTATAAAAGCAGTAAGTGGGTTATGATCATTTTTTACCAAGTCAGTAGATGCTTAAATCCTCTTAAAATACCTTCTTAACCATCTGTGTGTAGGCAACAAGAGCTATGAAGCTATTTGGACCCTTTGACCCTATAATACCATTCCTAGCTTTGTACCCACCTCAAAGAAATAATCCAGAGCTAAGAAGTATTTTATCCAAAGGGTTCACAGGAGGGCCCTTTGTAACAGTGGAAACTGGAAAGATTTCAAATGCTGAAAGATGATGGGCTAGCTAAGGAAATAGGCCTGGACAAAACAATGTTACTTGAAGCAGCTTTGGAGCGTGAGGCAGAAGCAGCAGCATGCCCTTCTCTCTCAGAAGTGGCAGGATTTTCAGGAGAGGAACAGAGAATCAGAGGTGGAAAGAGTCTTGACTTTGGGTTGTACCCATCACTCCATTATTTCACTCATTGCCAAGTCCATGTTTTATTTTATACTTTAAAAAAAATTATGGGAAAAATTTTAAAAGGTAAAACAAAAATCCCCTTCTTTACCTCCCTACTATGAGCTCAAGTTTTCAGGAAATGTAACAATATTTTTCCTCAGAAATGTGAGCCATGCCGGAGATCCTGGTGGGGTTCTTGACGGCTTTCCAGTTCTGGATCCCAGTTCCTCATGAGGCCCCACTTCTAGGGCCCGAGATCTGTGAGACTTCTCCGTCTGGCCCTGGATGGCATCCATCTGTCACTGCTTCTACAATGGAAAGAGTTCTTGGCCAAGACAGCTGATAGAACAGAGGTATCCACTGGGAAGGCCCAGCTCAGCTGTCTGGCACCAAAGCTCCACCCTGGCTCCCCCTCATCCTGGAAGCACCCCTAACTCCCCCCAGCCAATTCCTATCCTCTGATGTCTTTTCCTCTCTTCCCACCAATCCTGGACTGCTGGAGAAATCAACTGTGTCAGCTAGGCTCACAAACTCCTCTGTGCTATTAATACTTGGCACCTTTTTGGCCCTTCCATGTGGCCGAGTCTGCTACTGTCTCCTTCACCTCTTTTTCCCTTAATCTTGATAACTAGTAATCAAACTCCCTACTTCTGGCTGCATATATGGCCACCCAGAAAAAAGACATTTCCTAAACTCCCTTGCAGCCAAAGGACTTCATTTTGGCCAATGAAATAAAAGAACATGTGCCAAATTTGTGACTTTTAAGGTCCTGTTCTTAAAAGGAAGAGAAACAGCCAATGCAAATATTTGACAAATCTGAGTGACTAAAACTTTCACTTTCACTGCTAGGACACTGACTATTTTGCTGGGGGAATGTCTTGGAAGATCCCAGCTGAGCCAAGGTGTTGTCCCGAAGGGGTAAGTGGTCCCAGAGGATGAGTAAGCAGAGGACTGAGCATCAGGGAGTCAGCAGTTATTTACCAGCTGGTACAGAAGTTGGTGAGAATTGGACCATGACAAAAGGCTAAGCGCCGAAGAATTGATGCTTTCTAATTGTGGTGCTGGGGAACTCTCGAGAGTCCCTTGGGCTGCAAGGAGATCAAACCTGTCAATCCTAATGGAAATCAACCCTGAATATTCGTTGGAAGGACTGATGCTGAAGCTCCAATATTTTGGCCACTTGATATGAAGAGCCAACTCATTGGAAAAGACCCTGATACTGGGAAAGATTGACAATAAAAGGAGAAGGGGGCAGTAAAGGATGAGATGGTTAGACAGCATCAATGGACATGAACTCAATGGACATGAATTTGAGCAAACTCTGGGAGATAGTGAAGGACAGGGAAGCCTGGCATGCTGCTATCCGTGGGGTTGCAGAGTCAGACACAACTTAGCAACTGAACAACATCAACGAAACAGAAGTGTTTTGGGCCTCCCTAGGACTCAGTGGTAAAGAATCCACCTACCAATGCAGGCAATGGGTTTGATCCTTGGGTTGGGAGGATCCCCTGAAGAAGGAAATGGCAACCCACTCTGGTATTTTTGCCTGGTTGGTGGGCTACAGTCCATGGGGTCACAAAAGAGTCTTACATGACAGTGACTAAATAACAACAGAAGTATTTCAGTAGTTTTACTCCTAAACAATGCTGCTGATTTGGACCAGCTAAATGTCAGCTGTGGTTGCAAGTTCCTTTCTTATGTTGGATTTCAGACATAATGGCAGGAGCTCAAGCATCCATTCTGGGCCATGAAGTAG